ATATCTTTCGCGTCGTTACACTTTGTCGAATCTAGTGAGCATCAAACAAATTAGAAGTTCCTATTTTCTGTATAGCATTTATTGTTTCTCCTCATGTTTTTCATCTCACGACGTCGTGATGAGAGAGCTTGCTGTGTTTATGGCCATTACTTTGTGCGTTAATTGTCGTTGTCATTTCACTAATTTGACATGCAATGCCTATTCTATTTTTAGCGTTATTATATGTGATTATAACGACTGAATTTCATTTCAACTTTTGTTTCATACAAACTTATTGTACCCACTGATCGTAGGAGAAAATAAAGGTAACACCCGACAAGTTACGCACTGTATATTCTATCATGGGACGGCGTGCGGCTTGCATTACATTAAGCACGAACGGTTCCATATACAATTCAAAACCGCTGTAACGGCAACAAAAATGTCCGTCGGAAAGTTCTACTAGAATACGTTACGAACACTTGGCCCAACGAACAATCTCTAACAAATCTAGAGCGTTTTCTCTCAAGCTATTTAATTGTCATATTGTCGTCATTGTGTATCATTCGTGAAAATGCCGACCCGACAAAACAAACATTACTCGTTCCTGAAAGAATTCAACATTGGGTACAATGTGCAAAAGCTTCATAATCATCGTTTACCTCACGAGCGACCTCTTTGACCAGCACACATTCAAAACTCGTTTAGTGGCCGTTTTATGTCCAGCGATAGAGGTGATCGCTAAAAAAAAAAAACGATCATCGGTACAGACTTCTAAAAAAATCATCCTTTCTGACAAAATGTTTGCCCTAGACTTCGATTTCTCCTACCGCTTTAAAGAGCGCTATTGGCGTCGTAGTATCTGCCCAGGTCCGCTACCGTCATGGCTGATGGTCGCGTCTTGCCGCCGATGCAGTATCGCCGAAGTACGAATCTCATTGCTTGCAAAACAAATTATCTACTATTCTCGTTTGTTACCGGCGCATCCACTGAGTAAAGACGAGGGCATTGTTGTCGCTAATGCACGCGCAAATGAACCCGATGCTCAGTCAGTCATCGAGGGCATTAGCGTGCTCGAGTGGCGGACTCGTTGTAGCAGCCATTGAAATTTATATATACGGCATACCGCTAGCACTGCCTCTATCCGTTGTCAATAATCTTAGTAGTGGCTAGTAGATCGTGACGCTGGATAGGATCAATGTGACCGGCCGACGGTGGTCAGCGTCGTTGCTCATCGTGTGAACATTGGCTGGCTGGGTGGTTGGTTTCGCGTGTCCACTGTCCCACCCACCAATCGGATCGTTTAAATGGTTATAGTAATGTTCTGGTTTTCGTTCTTGTTGCACTGTGTAGTTTAATCATACTGAACAGACGAGCGAAGACTAAAAGGACGAGGGGTGGGAAAGGAATTCTGGCCCGAGTGGGTAGCGGCAGTAGCAGTCGCTGGACATCGAGGGCAAAGTCTACGCATTAAAATACGCGCTATGTAGACTAACACTTTTGCGCGTGCGGCCTCCAGCTTTTTTGGAGGGGACCTACGAGCAAATGTTTTCGGGAGGTGGTTGGGACTACGCTACAAGAAAGATGAAGGATGTATGAAGAGGGATATAAGAGAGGAAGAAGAAGAAGAAATCGACTACGATAGACACAAAGCTTCGACCACATTGACTAAATCGCCAAATGCTGACCGAACGAAGACCAATCACAAGGGCAGCAAGCAGTGGTGAATCGCCGTTCATTTGGTGGCTCTGATCGTTGCTATAATATGTATGTACATGCCTGTATGCGGCGGTCCTACGCGCTGGCCAAAGTCTAACCACTAAGTGTTCGCAGCTTGGGATTCGAGCACAGCGCGGCCACTGTGCAAGAACACTAGGCAACGATGCGTCCATGCAACACACGAATAGACTAGTTTAAGGCTTCTGCTGTTACTTACTTGGACAAAGGCCGAGTTTGCCGCTAGCTTTTAGTGATCGGTCTGGATGAGAGAACTACGCAGTTGTACGGGATATTGATTCTTCAGAGCGACTAGAAGAGAACCTAGTGTTGCAAACTGTTGAGTTACGTCCATTCGGGATTACGCTGTATAGCTCCGACAGAATAGAAATAGTTGCCATTGGTGCGATCTCTCTTTTGCTTTTGGTTCACCTCCATGTGTACGTAAACCGAAGAAATCAAATGGACGTGCTTACTGACGTTGGCCACTTTTGTCTCCTAATGTGTTTGAAAAGTTGCCGATATTACCGTTTTTTGCCTGTCTATCCCATTGTTTGATACCGTTCACTAAAACGCAAGGAAAATGCTTGGCACAATACGCAGCGTTCGTACAGAACCCCAGCGTTCGACCCGGCTGGAGCGGCGTACTAGTATTCATCTGGGAAATATCGGTAAGCTACATCAAGTCTGTACACTACGACCTTACATTGACAACAAGCACGCATAGTATACGTGCACAGTGACGAAAGCCTTTGCGTGCATTACGTTGTCACGCCTATAGCTGAAGATTACGTTTAGGAGGTTGAATTTGTTTACCAGTATCGATTTCAGCCTGTTGGTAGCAAACTGTGACGGATACCCTGTGTAGCATCTGACTCGATTTTGTTCCAATGAATTTGCTATCAGTCTCAATAGCCCGAATGGCGATTTTCCACGGTTGTATTGTGATTTATTTCATAGTAACGGAGTCTAGCGTCGATAACTATATTCTTAGCGGCATGTTAAAGGTCGATTAATTTCAAATATACCATTCATATCTATCAGATATAATCAGCTCGATCTATGATTATTACAGTCTCGAAAACTAAAATTATATTTCCGTTTTATACAAGTAGATGCGCAACGTAGGCCATAGGGGGTCAGTTCAGCTATTTACCGTATTCCGTTACATGGGCATCCTGTGGCACTTATTCCCGCATCGTTCCTTACATTCCCTACGGTTGATGAGCGTTCAGTTGAATCGAGTGAACGTTACGGGGAAAAAAACGGTAGTATCTGTGACAATAATAGTCATTATTGTAGCTAAAGACTGTAGTCATTGCTTTGTGTGAAGTGGGGCGGTGGAGAATGGGCGATATTTATCCCGGATTTTCAAAAGTAGCAGCCATCTCTTGGCTGTACAGTCAGCAACTGGTCGACAATGGCGCCGTTGGCACGATACTTAAGAAACGTCAGTGTTAATAACTCGCACGCTCCGTACCCTGCCAGTTTCGGTGTACCGCGAGGTAACGGCGGAATAGCGTCCCAACTTGTTCAGTTCATCTGCTTGTTGACAGTGCGCCTAATCGCATAACGAAATAGAAACAAAACCACATTTTCTAAATACATGTCATTTTGATTGACAGCTACATCTTTTGGGCCCATCTGTGCGCCGGACAGCTGTTTAACATGGCCTGTCCATCGGATAGAATCGGTATGTAGAGGACGCTGGCAGCCTTTTCATTGACTGATAAAACGACGCAAGTATGAACAAAAAAATCTGAAGGCTTGCTCTTCGAATCGATGGACTTTTGGCGGGGTCAAGGCGCCAGACAAGGTTATCTCAGAGAAACGGCATCAAGTCGGCAACAGATTTGTAAGATGCATTCGAAGCACAGCTGGCAGTAGCATAGGTCACACGAAAGCTGGCCGCGGTCCAGCGAATGCCGTGGGCGCCTCTGAAGGACACTACTTTTTTCTGTCTATGGAATAGCAAAACGCGAACTAAGCACTATCAAGACTAGAAGCGGGATCGCACGGTAAAGTCAGCCGGGCGTGACTATGTCGTAATACGGTCGTTTTATCCAATGATCGTACACCGTTGAGAGTACGGAAACCCTTGTTCTAGCCGTAAATCAACGTAGTTATTTGGAATTATTTGGATATCATTAAGACTCAACTGCCTGTGCGTCCCTGTCGCTCAGCTTCTAAGCAGTGTTACCAAATATGTAAATTCTCTGAACTGTCGACATAAAAGCTTCCTTTAGTGGCTGTTTAAAAGGAACAGTAAGTAATCTTAGCTAGCGCAATTGACCTTCAAACATATTGTTTAGCGAATAGATAGATATATTTGACACTTTTTTGTTTTCTATTGAAAAGGAAAAATGTTTTTTGAACATATTCTAAGCCGTCGTGTCCCTCAGGTATCCATTTCTACTTGAATACCCATCAAGCCTACTTTGTGCATACTGTGCCGGTATTGTCATCGACCACTCAGTTGCCGTAACAGGCGGGTGTTACTGAAGCGTGCGCTTGTGGCAGGTTACATGTTCTGACGCTCATAATAAATATTCTGACTGCAGTTCAGATCCGGACCGCCATACTTGTTCAACGTAAACTGTTTGATGAGATTTCGCCATTAAGTTTGTCACCCTGAAGATGGACTCGTCGTTAGAGGTCATGTAATTCTTTTTTTTACTGGCGTTACAACGTCGCATGCGCGTTATAGCTCTGTCCTTTTTGGTACACGAAGAAATATCGGTGGAACGAACCGATTTCGAAACCATACGATCTAAGCGTCTGCACTTCCACCATTTCGGGCAAACCTAACGAAGTACTGCTGCCATGTATATGTTCATTAAAAATAAACGTAAAGCTCTCTCCCTCTTCAAAAGGGCAAATTTACAAGGCTTCATCAACATCGGAAAGTACTCGTCGGTGGAAATTCGCTGCTAGAGTTTTTCGACGTAGTTGGAATAGGGATGAACCGTGTACAGCTACACTGTATAGAAATTCGCTATTTGTGCCGTTATTGTCATTTTCATAAACTTCAACACACTGCGCGAAGAGGAATACGCTACCCCTTGATATAGCTAGCTAATCTAT